GTGAAGTTTGCTCGGGTTACAGGAGGAGTTCAAAGATAGCCTTGGTCATTTGGTAAAACCCTGTCTCAAAATTAGAAGGGGCTGGGGTAGAGGTCTAAGGAGACAGCACCGGCTTAGCCAGTGAAGCCCCAGATTCAAGCCCCAGTAAACAAAGAAAGAAGAGGGAAAGTAGAAGTGCATTTCCAGGTATTTGATTTTCTAGAGACGGCTAAAAACTGCTCTCCCTGGCGACTGCATGGCAGCCACAGGTATCTCGAGGTGATGGGGTCTCTTGAAGGCCCAGCATTTCAATATTTGGGTTTTAGCTGTGCTGGCTTTGATGTCCTCTGCTTGGCTTTGTTTTCTATGTATTTTCTGCATCTGTAAAAAACTAGCATTTTCAGTGCAGTGCTGAGCTAAGAGGCAGTACTTCCCATTTTTCGGTAATAAGATGGACAGTCTTCAATTAGCCTGGCTCTTCTCGCCAGCTCCACAGTCCCTACCAAAGCCAAGGGTGAAAAATGGATTCTGGATTCAGTCTTCATTTCCTTGAGGCTCTAATAGAATATCACAATGTCAAATAAATAAATAAATAAATAAATAAATAAATAAATAAATAAAAAGTTCCTTTAAAGAGCCCACACCAGAGATCTAGCAGCATGAAGTAGTCATCTCTGTGGGACGCTTGCTGAGGCTCAGTCTCCCCGGGTGCCTTCTGTGTCCTCTGGACGGAATCACTTTCTGTACATGAAAATGGGATCCACACCATCTATCTTCCACGATTGTGACTGTGGTATATTTGAATGCCCGCTTTTAATTTTTCTAAATTCTAGTTTAAGTTTTTAAATAGCCCAAACTAGCTTCTTAAATTAACTTTTTAGTTAATTTAACTTGTCATCACTTAATTGCAGAGTCTGCTCAGTTTAAAAATAAAATGTTACCATGGACTTAGAAATCAACAATGGAAAAAATTCAAGGTCTTTTAGGTTTGTTTTGTTTGTTTTAACAATGTGGTATTTTATTTGTGCTCTAACAAATAGAACTTATCTAGGGATCAGAGCAGAGAGCCAGCCACTAGAGTAGACAGGGGCTAGACAGTGGTGGCACACACCCTTAATTCTATCACTTGGGAAGCAGAAATCCGTCTGGATCTCTGTGAGTTCAAGGCCACACGGGAAACAGAACCAGGCGTGGTGGTAGCACATGCCTTTAATCCCAACACTTGAGATCTCAGGTCTTTGCTTGGGAAGGACACAGGCCTTTAATCCCGGGAAGAGATGACAGGAAGCAGAAAGGTATATAAGGTGTGAGGACCAGGAACTAGAGGCTTTTAAGCAGTTCAGCTGAGACCCTCAGGGGTGAGGAAACAGGAACTCACGTTCCTGAGGCTGAGGAATTGGCTAGTTGAGGTTAGCTGTAGCTTGTACTGCTTCTCTGATCTTTCAGTATTCACCCCAATATCTGGCGCCAGGTTTTTTATTAATAAGACCATTTAGCAATCCGTGTTACAAGCAAGGGGAAGTATTGCCTCATATGTCCGGAATCTCTCTCTAAAACAGGAGAAAAGATGTATCCTTCCGCGGAAGGCTACAGTTGAGATCATTGTTTACCAAACTATCAGGCACTAAAGGCCAAGTGCATTTTGATTTTGGTAAAACAATTCTTAGCTTTCTTTAGCACTCACATATAACTTACTCTCCCACGATTGCCTCTCTATACTCCACTTGGAATAAAAACACGTCAGTTTTTATTGTTTCTTTTGGTCTTCATTTGTGAATGGTGGCTTGTCGCCTTGTCCCCTAAGGTATAGAAAAAATATTGTTTGCCAAATTCATTCCCAGGCCCAAATGGAGGTCCTACAGTAAAGTCTTGCCTTTCTCTGCATATAATTGAACAGATAGCATGCATTAGATGCATTAGACTCTGGTTTTTCCACGATCTTCAGTAACCAACTGTCCTCCAGGTACCACAGTGATGTCAGGCACAGGATGAAATTGACAGCTAGTGCTCTTGGGTTGTTTGAAGGAGAGTTGAAGGCTCTTAAAGAACAGGAAGAATTCAAGTTCAGGGCCCACTCTTTAGGTTTAAAAGTTTAACAGTAAAGTCATACAGTGGCACAAGCCTGTAACCCAGCTCTGGGAGGCTGAGACCAGAGGATTGTAAATTCCATCAACGGTTACATGGTGAGACTCTGGAAACAAGGAGGAGGAAGGGGAGGAGGAAGAAATAGAAAATGGAAAGAGAGACTAGAAAGACAGAAGCTGGGCCCTCCCCCAATCAATCAATAACTAAGAAAATGTCCTACAGGCTTGCCTACAGCCTGATCTTATGGAAGCATTTTCTTGAACTGAGGCTTCCTCCTCTATGATGACTCTAACAGAAGGCCTTCCAGTCTTGATCAGAAGCAACTTCCTGAGTTAAAGAAGTGTCTCAGCAAAATTAGTATGTAGAAAAAAGTAAATGGAAATTCATAAACTTAAACCACATTGCATCTTGGCTGGGAAAAGCTGGGGTATGATTGCCAATAAACCTTGAGGGAAATGACAAAAATAATTTCCCAAACAATAATTTTTAAAACTTCATCCATGAAATACAAAACAGGATCTGTCATCTTATACTTCACATGCAGTGATTAAAAAAAAAATCCTAGTACACATGAGTGCTGCCAGTGATAGCCTGATATGAAAATACTTCTAACAGAGTATTAAAATAGTGTTTTAGTTAGGATTACTATTGCTGTGATAAAACAAATTACCAAAAGCAACTTGGGGAGGAAAGGGTTTATTCAGTTTACACTGTCACATCACTGGTCATTGAAAGTCAGGACAGGAACTCACTCAGGGCAGGAACATGGAGACAGGGGCTGCTTCCTGCTTCCCATGGCTTACTCAGCCTGCTTTCTTATAGAACCCAGGACCAGCAGTCCAGGGGTAATACCACTCACAATGAGCTGGGGCCCTCTCCCGCCAAATCACTAATTGAGAAAATGCCCTACAGGCTTGCCTACAGCCGGATCTTTTTCTTCTTTCTTTCTTTCTCTCTCTTTCTTTCTTTCTTTCTTTCTTTCTTTCTTTCTTTCTTTCTTTCTTTCTTTCTTTCTTTTTCCTCTCTGCCCCCCCCCCTTTTTTTTTCCGAGACAGGGTTTCTGTGTGTAGCTTTGCGCCTTTCCTGGAACTCACTCTGTAGCCCAGGTAGGGCTCGAACTCACCTAGAACCACCTGCCTCTGCCTCCCTAGTGCTGGGATTAAAGGCGTGCACCACCACCGCCTGGCACAGCCGGATCTTATGGAGGCATTTTCTCAACTGGGATTTCCTCCTCTATGATTCTAGCTTGTGTCAAGTTGTCACAAAACTAGCCAGCACAAATATTAACAAGTAAATTAATATATTTATGTAGTACTTCTTTGCAACAATCTCAACTTAATGTAAATTCCAATCCAATTCTCACAAACTACTGGTAGTATTATCAGATGAGTTTTATAGGTGAAAAGGGAGAATGGGAAAACTACCAGTTTACATATCTATTAATTAATCCCTTTGAATGAGAACATGCACTATATAGGTGTGGCAAAATCCCACCTCCACCCTCTTGGAGCACTAGTTAGAACTGCAAATTAAATTAAAAGAAGTACCAAACAGATTGACTGCTCTAATTAAAAAAATAAAATAAAAAGTAGCCAGGTAGTGGTGGCACACGCCTTTATTCCCAGCACTTGGGAGGCAGAGGAAGGCGGATCTAAGCCAGCCTGGTCTAAAAGCAAGTTCCAGGACAATCGGGGTTACACAGAGAAACTCTTTCTACAAAAACAAAAACAAAAAAAGTAACCCGCTGGGCGGTGGTGGCACACGCCTTTAATCCCAGCACTAGGGAGGCAGAGCCAGGCAGATCTCTGTGAGTTCGAGGCCAGTCTGGACTACCAAGTGAGTTCCAGGAAAGGCGCAAAGCTACACAGAG